GCGCCGACCTCGCGAGCACGAATCCCACTTCCGTGAGCTCCGAGGGGATGCGCAGAGCCAAGCAGAGACCCACGCAAGACTCTACACCCGCACGCAGACGCAGACGCACACGCACGCAGAGCCCTGAGAATCCCGAGGGGAAAAGACTTATTGACAAATCCGGGTCGACTAGAAAGGGGGGGCGGGGGGTCGGAGGAGGAGGAGGAGAGGAGGAGGAGGAGGAGGAGGAGGAGAAGGAGGAGGGGGAACAGGGCAGAGTTCCTCCTACACCTTCCCCTTCCCCCTGTCTTCCCTTTCTTCCTTTCCCCTCCATCTCCCCTCCCCTCCCTTCCTCAGCCACGGACCCTGGGCGTGATCTGACTCAGGGAGAACCACCAACTACTTTTTTTTCTTGTCCGCGTGTGTCACTTTCCACAAAGAAAGAAAGAAAGAACGAAAGAAAGAAGGAGGGAAAAAAAAGAAAAAAAAAGGAGAGAGAAAAAAGTAAATTTACACGAAACCAACTACGAGTTCTAGCGAGACATTTTCCTCAAATAAGTTCCTGCGCAAAACGAAAACGAAAAAAAAAAACTTATCCTTGCACCTTATCATACCAAAAGCTATCATTCAGCATTCCCATCGTCCCTCGTTTCGAGATTTGCGAAATCCACTCGCCGTAACGCACACTATGACGTCACTCCCACGGCGATATACCTGCAAAACCCTGTACCTCATGCCCTCCCCCCCTTTCTCGTAACCTAGACCTCCACGCGAAAATAGATCCCGAAAAAAAAGAAAAAAAAAAAAAATCAACTTCTCCACCTCTTCCGTCGCACGCGCGTGCTTGTGCGTGTGTGGGGATGGAGGAGAGGGGGGAGGGGGGGAGGGGGGGGAAACGAGTGATAACCTCAAGCTCACCCTCTTTCCTCTGACCCCCCCCAAATTGAACCTTACCCCTCTCTTCCTCCTTCTTAACCCTCTATCCCCCTCACTCTGAAACTCCGAGCCTCATGACCCCTCCTTTCCCCTTACTCTAACTCCTGAACCTCAGCCACCTCGCCCTTAAACTCCCCCCCCCCAAAAAAAAAAAAAAAAAAAAAAAAAAAACTTTCGCCCCCCCTACTTCCCCCCAAAAAATCTCTGAACCTGAACCTTACCCCTTTCCTGCCCCCTTCTCCCCCACCCCACAACAGCCTGAACCTCACCTTGACCCTTCCCTTCCCCCCTTCTTTCCCCTCTTCCTCCCCCAATGCCATGAACCTCTCCCTCACCCTTCCTTCTCCACCTCCCCAATGCTCTTCTTTCCCCTCCTCTCTCCCCCGCCCTCACCTCTTCACCCCCACCTACCTCCTCCTCGCTTCTCTCCATCCCCCCCCCCTCCTTCTCCCTCTCCTCCCCCCTCCCCCCTCCTTCCCCTCGCATTCCTTCTTTCCCCTCTTCCCCCTCCCTCACCTCTTCCTACCCCTTCGCCTCTTCTCCATCCCCTCCCCCTCCTTCTTTCCCTCCTCCCCTCCCCTCTCTTCCCAACCCCCCTTCGCTCTTCTCATCCCCTCCTCCCTCCTTCTTTCCCCTCCTCCCCCCCTCCCCTCACCTCTTCCCAACCCCCTTCGCCTCTTCTCCATCCCCTCCTCCCTCCTTCTTTCCCCCTCCTCCCCCTCCCTCACCTCTTCCCAACCCCCTTCGCCTCTTCTCCATCCCCTCCTCCCTCCTTCTTTCCCTCCTCCCCCTCCCCTCACCCTCTTCCCTACCCCCTTCGCCTCTTCTCCAACCTCTTCCCTACAACCTCTTCCCTACCCCCTTCGCCTCTTCTCCCACACAAGGCCCAGACCCCGAGTTTAATTAATCGATCATTTGAAAATATTGACTGAGAGCACGACAAAGGCGGCCCACTCTCGGTCTGCGCGTGACCAACACGAACCCTTCAGCTCAGCCCCCCCCCACTTCCCCCTTCCCCTTCCCCAATCTCCCCTTGCCCTCCCACGCTCCCCCTCTCCTTTCCCTCTCCCTTCCCCCCTCTCACGCTCCCCTCCCCCTTCCCCTTCTCACGCTCCCTCCCCTTCACACTCCCCCCACCCATTCCTACCCACGCTCTCACCCCCCACCCCCGTCACCAACCGCTACCCCCCCTTCCGGTAATTTGGTTATTATTATCGTTGTCGGAAAAAATAATGATGATAATAAAGATGATTGTTCTTTTTTTCGCACTGTCAGAATAATAATAATTGTAATAAAGATAATAATGCTTTTATCTTGTTGTTGGAATAATAATAATGACGATAACAAGATGAAGCACTTTTTCTCGTTGTCGGAATAATAATAATGACGATAATAAAGATATTAGTACTTTTCTCACTATTAAACTACTCGTGTCGCAGTTATTAATCCACAACTGTTGTAATATCGATTCTTGCTCTGGTAATCATCATCTTCATTAAGATCAGCTCCTATTATCACCATTATGCTTATCGATATCGTTTTCGTTACCATTATTCTACTCCATTAATTCATCTGTCACGGTAGGCTTATGCGCATTAAGAAGACAATGCCAGGGTAATTATCTGTGCGTGAGTGTGCCGCATCAAAGGACCTTTTCTTAATTTATCTAATAAGTTTTTTTTTTATTATTATTTTCATTCTTAGTTGGAATTTATTGCTCTACTGGAAACCCCGCTGCAAGAACACTCACTTCATCATTCATATAAGACAAGTCTAAAAAAGAAAGAAGAAAAAATAAAATAAAATAAAGAATAAATAAATAAATAATAATATTTGTCTTTTTTTCCTTCTTCCTTTCTCTCCTTAAACACCATTCGCGACCAGAAAGCCAAGCCGAGGTCCGGCCGCCTGGAAATACATTCCGGTCTTCAAGACAAGGCCAATACCAATTTGTCTTATCTATCTCGATGTCTCACGGGAGTGCCTGACCCTCCCTCAACCCTCGCGCCTCTCTCCCCCCTTCCCCTCATCTCCCATCCCTCCCTTCTCCCCGCATCCCACACCATTCCCCTTCCAATCTCGACAAGTCCCCCTGCTCTCCCTGTCTTCATTACACCCCCTCTCTCTTCCCCATCCTCCCTGGCGCTCTGTCTCCATCTCCGTCTGTTGCTCGATCTTTCTTTCATTTTCTTTCTGTTGTCGCAACTTCCACTCTTTCTTTAGTCTCCTTGTTGTTTTCCTCCCTTCCTCTTCCCCCCTTTTCTCTCCCTCCCTTCTCCCTCATCCCCACCCCTCTCATACTCCTCCTTCCCCGGCCTCCTTCTCGAACAACTTCCTATCCTCCTACAAGTAGACTCTTCCCTCCTCCCTCTCCCTCCCTACCTACTTCCTTCCCTCCCTGCCTCCCACCGCTAACCTACCCACCTTCCTTCCCCCTCTCACTCTAACCCAACCTCTAACCCAAACCCTCTAACCCAACCTACCACCTACCTACCTACCTACCTACCTACCTACTACCTACCTCCTACCTTCCTTCCTTCCTTCCTTCCTTCCTTCCTTCCTTCCTTTCCTTCCTTCCCTTCCTTCCCTTCCTTCCCTCCCTCCCTCCCTCCCTCCCTCCCTCCCTCCCTCCCTCCTCCCTCCCTCTCCCTCCATCCCGCATCCAGCCTCCCCCTCCTTCGGCCCCCAATCCGCCCGCCCTGGCCAGCGACGTCTCTGCGGTCCAAGACGTCAACACACCAGGCCGCGAAGGACAAGAAGCCGAGGGAACTATGGCAACTTTTACGCCTCATCTTAACTTGTTTTTTTTTTATTATTTTTATCATCATTTTCTACAAGTAAGATTTGTTTTAAATTTCTATATCATTAAAGAAGGTAAGATTTTTGCTGTTGTGTTGTCTTCCCCCCCCTTTTTTTTTTACGTTTTGAATTTTTAACATAATGAACCTCTTTTTCATCCATATAGTATTCCACTATTACACAGTGCTCGAATTTCCAGTCATACAAAAAAAGAAGAAAAAAAATATGAAAAGTTACTTTTTCTCATTTGATATCCACTTCGTTTCTGTTCGCCTCTTCGCCGTTCATTGTACATATCGTTGTTCTAAATCCCCCGCCCTTTGTGAAGCAACGGCGTTGTCACACACCATAAAAATGAATGCCTAAAAAAAGAAAGAAAAAAATCATACACACAAGAAATATGTGTTTGCCACTGTAACTGCATTCATCCTCGCAGCGCAAGCGTTAACTGCACAACACATAAAGGTACTGAAAGAGTCAATCATCACAACCACACAATACATAAACAAGCCCCCCCCCTCCCTCCCTCTCTCTCTGTCTCTCTCTCTCTCTCTCTCTGTCTGTCTCTCTCTCTCTCTCTGTCTGTCTGTCTCTCTCTCTGTCTCTGTCTCTGTCTCTCTCTGCTTCACGACCTCTGACCCCTATGACCTTGGCTATCACGAACAACTGAGGGGAAAAAGTCAGACGACATCGCAAGTGACCTGGAAGGGAATACGTGAGGCAGACGGCTGGCTTCGGAGGAGAGACACAGGATGCACAGAGACACAAGAAACAATTCCAGTGGCAGACAGACGCCACAGGAGGGAAGTCACAAGGCAGACAGAAGACAGGGAAGTCAGAAAGCAGACAGAAGACACAGCAGGGAGGTCACAAGGCAGACAGAAGACAGGGAAATCAGAAGGCAGACAGAAGACACATCAGGGAAGTCAGACCGCAGACAGACGGCACATGACGACGGCCTCGCGTCGCCACGGCCACACCGCTGTCGCTCCTTCGCCTAAACCTTGTAATGCCGCCCTGACACGAACCCCGTCCTTGGCGCCCCCGAGTCTCCCTCCGCCGCGCCCGTGACGAGGACGCCGCCCGCGGGTGGGTCGTTCCCGGGAGGTCCACACCCATCTGACGTGCACCCCGCCCACTCTCCCAGCTCCTCCCACCCTGGATTCCCAAGTTATCTTATTTTCCTTCTACATATATACATTTTTTTTTTTTATCTATCATCATTATCATTGTCTTGCCTCAAAATCCCCACGGGAAGACAGTGCCTCACTCTCACAGACGCAGCCATGCGCGAGAGTCCCATGCAACGGCAACGGTATTTCGACCTTAGCTGCCGGCGCTCCCTGGACAATCCCGGGACGCTGAGCCACTCGCTCGCCTGACCCACGCACGCACGCACGCACGCCGACCTGCACGACATACTCGGCAAGGAAACTTTTCCTGACATTTGAGACATTGATGAGAGCGGCAATTTCTGGAATTCAACCCCGTGCTTCCTCTTTATATCCAGCTGTTCGTTAATTTTCGGATTTTTAAAACTTTCTCTTTCTCCGTCTCTGTCTCTCTCTGTCCCTGTCTCTATCTTTGTCCGTCTCTCTCCCTCTCGCTCTTTCGCAAGTTCTATCTCTCCTACTCATTTCCTCCTAATCCCCCTCTCTTTCTCCGTCTCTCTTGACTTGTCCCTTATACCACTCTCTCCCTCCCTTCCCCACCCCATCCCTCTTACTCTTTCTTTCTCCTTTTTTCTTTTCCTCATTCTGTTTCACAAGCATGGCAATCATCTTCCTTTCCCAATACTGTCTGTTAATTTTCTTATTTTTTTCACTTTATCTATACATTTTTTTCATATCTATTGGTATATATTCCTATTCCTGTATTCCCCTTGTATCCCCTCTGTTTTTTTCTTCTTTCTTCTCTCCTTTAATTCATCTCCACTTATTTTTATCCTTTCTGTCTCCGCGTCTTTGTTTTCTGTTTTGTTTTTCTGCTTCATATATATTTTTTTTATCTCCTCCTCCTCTCTTCTATCCCTTCTTCACTCCCTCCCCCCCTTTTTCCTCTCTTTTGCTTCTTCGTCTTTCTTCCTCCTCTGCTTCTCATTCTCTCTCCTTTCTTCTCCTTTCTGTCTCTCCATTTTTCTCCTCCCTGTTTCCCTCTCTTCTTTCGTTCTTCCTTTTTATTATTCGTTTTTCCCTTCTTCCCGCTCGTCAGATCAGATCGTTCGCGAGCCAGAGTTTCTCATTTATAAAATCATCAATATTTGTCCTGTGTAGTCATAACAACGTGACCCCCCAACCCCCCACCCTCAACCGCCCTCCTTCCCTCCCTTCTCCTTCCCCCTCCTCCCTCCCTACTACTCCCTCTTTCTTCTTCCTCCCCCTCCTTCTCCTCCTCCCTCCTTCCCCCTCCCATCCCTACTCCGCTCTTGCCCTCCTCCCTCCCTCCCTCCTCATTCTCCCTTCTTCCCTTCCTACCTCCCTCCTTCCTCTTCTCCCTTCCTCCCCCTCCTCCTCTTCCTCCCTTCCACGTAAATCTGCCTCATCTTTCCGTGTGTCTGTTTTCCTTATCATGCCTTTTTTATTTTTTTTCTTAATCTTTAAATCTTTTTATTCCCTTCTTCATGATATACTTTTCTTTCATCGTACTTTTTCATATAATACTCTTTCCTTCCCTCTTTTGTTGTCTTTATCACCTCCTTCTGTTTCCCTTCTTCCCGTTTTTTTCCTTGCTCTCCTTCATATTCCTATATTGCTTTATATTTTTTTCCCTGCTATCGTTTCTTGTCACTTTTCCCTTTCATTCAACCTCCATACTATCACTTCCTCCCCTTACCTATCGTCCCGTAACTCAAGTCCCCGTATTTCGCTATATTTGTCCTCATTCACGGTTTACCACAATTTTCCGTTAGTTATTTTTTTCTCATTACCTGTCTCTCCCTTCTATTATTATCCTTCTCCCTTACCTTCTCTCCTCCCTACAATCCTCCCTTACCTGTGTCTCCCTTCTATTATTATCCTTCTCCCTTACCTTCTCTCCTTCCTACAAATCCTTCTCCTTACCTGCCTCCCTTCTATTATTATCCTTCTCCCTTACCTGTCTCTCCTCCCTACAATCCTTCTCCCTTACCTGCCTCTCCCTTCTATTATTATCCTTCTCCCTTAGCTGTCTCTCCCTTCATCTACCCTACGCCCCTCCATCCCCCTGACATCCCTCATCCTCTTTCTTCCAGCAGTCTCTCCCTTCCCTCCAACTCCCTCCCCTCCCCCTCTCTTTATTTCCCCAACGCCTCACGCCCTCCTCCTAACTCCCCCACCCTCCCCCCTTTCTTTATTTCCCCATCGCCTCACGCCCTCTCCTTTAACTCCCCCACCCTCCCCCTTTCTTTATTTCCCCAACGCCTCAAGCCCCTCCCCTAAACTCCCCCCTCCCCCAAGCCGCCCTCCTAACCCCCAACCAAGAGCCTCTACAACCCCTCCCCCCCGCCCCTTCTCCTTCCAAGGACTATTACGCGCCGGGAACGAGTGACACGCGCGGTGCCGAGGCGGGTCTCGACAGGCGCTCCCGAGGGCCGAATTACAGTCAAACTCGGGACGGCTTCTCGCTCGTCTCCTCTTCCTGCTTCTCCTCTTCCTTTTCCTCCTTCTTTTCTTTTCGTCCTCCTTCTTTCTCGTTCTCGTTCTTCTTCTTCTCCCCCTCCTCCTCCTTCTTTTCTTTTCGTCCTCCTTCTTGTTCTCGTTCTCGTTCTTTTTCTTCTCCCCTCCTCCTCCTCCTTTCTTTTCGTCCTCCTTCTTGTTCCCGTTCTCCTCCTCCTTCTTCTCCTCCCCCTCACCCCTTCCCTCCTCCTCCTCCTCCTCCTCCTCCTCCTCCTTCGACATGTTCCGATGGATGCAATGGTCTTTGTCAAAAGGATGTCTTTCCTCCCTTTTTCTGTGTCTGGTTCGTGTCTTTCTGTTGCTATTGTTTCTTCGTCTCGTGTCATTCTGTTTTCCGTTCGTGTCCTGTTGTCTTTTTCTTCTGTCTTTCTCAAGTCTGTCTGTCTATCTGGCTCGTGTGTCTGTGTCTACTTGCCCTCCCCTCCCCCTTCCCCCCTGCTCATTCCTCCCCTCCTCCCCCTTACCCTCACTAATGCCCTTCCTTCCCTCCCCCTATCCCCCTGCCAAATCCCTCCCCTCCTACCCCTTCCTCCCTCCCATTCCCCCCCTCCTCCCCTATCCCCCTGCCAAATCCTCCCTTCTCCCCTTCCCCCCTCCTCCTCCCCTTCCCTCTGCCCGGGTACCATATTCCGCGGCGGGAAAATAGCGGGATATCCTACGAGGGAAATCAGGCGATATTACAATCAGTACTATGCCGCCCTGGACACATTTCTGAAACTGCCTCGGCGTTTCCGCGCGCGCCTCTGCGTGTGTGTGTGTGTGTGTGTGTGTGTGTGTGTGTGTGTGTGTGTGTGTGTGTGTGTGTGTGTGTGTGTGTGTGTGTGTGTGTGTGTGTGTGTGTGTGTGTGTGTGTGTGTGTGTGTTGGGGAGCATATCGTACACAAAGATGGGTTTGTCTATGTATGTAAGTTTATGCTTGTTTGTTTGTTTGGTGTGTGTGAGATGTATTCGAATGAGTGTTTTTTACTTGTATATAGTTTATAGTATATAGTATAGTATAATATATTATATATATATATATATATATATATATATATATATATATGTATATATTCGCTCCATATCATCCGCTCATCGTGTCCCTCATCCTTCAAAATCATCCCTCAAAGTGCGTCCGTCTCTCCCATCCCATCCCGCCTATCCATCCTATCCATATTATCCCCATCCCATCCCGGCCTATCCCACCCTGCTTATCCATCCTACCCTGCTTATCCATTCCATCCTGGCCCATCCCATCCCGCCTATCCATTCCATCCCGGCCTATCCCACCCTGCTTATCCATCCCGCCTATCCTCGGACCCTGGAGCAAACACAAAAGCCTCCCACCGGAGTTTCGATTAAGCTAGCGAAATGGCAATTAGGATTGAGTCAATTTTTTTCTCTGTTGCTGTGAGGGAGACGAGGGTAGGGGGTAGGGGGAAGGGGGAAGGGGGAAGGGGAAGGAGGAAAGGAGATAGGGATAAGGGGAGGATGAGGGGGATAATTTCTGGTAGCATTCTTGGGGGGGGGGGACAGGGAGGGAGGGGAAGGGCGGGGAAAGGTAAGGGCGGAGGGAGATGTCAGGCCCTGACACCCATTCTCGACTTGATTCCGCCTTATTTCGATCTTACAGAGTATAGCAGCTTATTTTCAGCCTATTTTCGGCTCATGAAAAGACACTTATAAGATACACATACAGCACAAACGCACATGAATACCCATCCGCACGCACTCCCCCTCCCACCCTTTCCCCTTCACACACACACACACACACACACACACACACACACACACACACACACACACACACACACACACACACACACACACACAAGCCACAAAGGCCACCGAAACACGACGCACATATAAACACACAACCATCATCATCACGGTGATATTATCGCCGCTACAAGCACCTACGCTTAACCCCCACCACGACCTTGTAAATGACCTCAATGCGCACACTAAGAGCCTACACACTAACGCACACTAATGCCAAACAGCGTGAAGGGCGCAGGGAGTGACTCCACAACGCGCCGCCGTGATGTGACATTGCAGCCTGAGTGTGCTTGTGGGTGTAAATGGCACCACGAGGCGGGAGGGTACACTAAACAAGTGTGACGTGACGTAGCATCACTTTGAAAGGGACCCTCTATGGCTACACTATACAAGTGACACGAATCCGTAGCACTATAAAAAAGACGATGTATGGGTACACTATAGAAGTGGCATGGCCCTGTAGCACTATAAAAAAGAACGCTATATATTTATACTACACAAGCAACATCACACTATTGTGTCAGGAAAAGCATTCCGTAGCACTGTATACAAAAATCTTTCTGCACAAGCAACACCAAACCTTGACACAATAGAAGGAATGCCACGCACCATACACTCCAACACGACACAGCAACACTATAAAAAAAACACATTGCAGCCCCCCAAACAAACACAATTCACTAACAATACACAAATGACACCATACCGAGACAGAAAAAAATGGACAAAGGATGAAAGGAAAGCGAGAACAGAGGAGTAGAATGAAAGACATAGAGACAGAAAGAAAAAGAAAATAATTGACTCGGGAAACACGGACACAAAGATAGAGGCAGGAAAATAGAGAAATGGAAAAAAAAATTATCGCAAGAGTAAACATGTTATTGATGTCTTCCGCGAAAACAGAAACTGGGAAGGAAGATGATAAAGCGAAGGGAAAAGAATGAAAAAAAAGTGAAAAGCAAGAAGACAAAAATGGAAAAAGGAAAAAAAGGAAGGACAAGAAAGGGAGGAAGTGTAAAGCAAAAAGACAGAAAAGGAAAAAAGGGAAGACAAGACAAGAACGACGGGAGAGGGAGGGGAGGAGAAGAAAGAACACAGAGAATAATACGAACAATGATGATAACATTACCAACAGCAACAGAAAAGAAAGTTGAAAGACGAAAAGGAAAAGGGGGGGGGGCGCATTAATCCAATTTCGTAAGCGGAGGTGTGGAAATTGAAAGGGGAAAAGAAAATGAGAAATGAGAGAAGAGAAGAGGAACAGGCGATGATGGTGGAAATCAAAGACAGCAAATGAGGTAGACGAGGAGGAGGAGGAGGAGGAGGAGGAGGAGGAGAGGAGGAAGAGAGAGAGAGAGAGAGAGAGAAGAGAGAGAAAGAAAGAAAGAGAGAGAGAGAGAGAGAGAAGAGAGAGAGAGAGAGAGAGAGAGAGAGAAGAGAGAGAGAGAGAGAGAGAGAGAGAGAGAGAGAGAGAGAGAGAGAGAGAGAGAGAGAGAGGAGAGAGAGAGGGGGGGGGGGAAAAGAGATAGAAAGATAGAGAAAGACATATAGGGAGGGAGGAGGGAAAGAGAGAGAAAGACGGACAGGCAGAGAACATACACGTATTAAGAGCCATAAAAGAAACGAAGGTGTTAAAGGAAGGGGAACGGAAGGCGAGGGAAGAGAGGGGAAAGGAGGAAATGGGGAGAACGGGGGGAAGGGGGGGGGGGGAGAAGGAGGAGGGAGAACAGAGATAGGGAGGTGAGGGGAGTAGAGGAGAGAGCAGAGCAGAGGGGAGGAGAAGGGGGGGGGGGTAGAGGAAAGAGCAGAGCAGAGGGGAGGGGAGGGGGGTAGAGGAGAGAGGGAGATTTGTTAGTAAAATGTAAATGAAGGGAGGAGAGACGGAGGGGAAAGAGAATCGAGGGACTTACTGCGGCGAGGGGAGGCCGAGGGGAAGCCGAGGGAGGAAGTAGGTAAATCAGGGGAGGGGAGGAGGTGATAAGGGAAGCAAGGATGAAGATGGAGACAATGAGGAGGAAAGAGGAGAAGACTAGGTGAAAGATAAATCAGGAAAGAAACGAAGAACTAAAAAAAAAAAGTAGAATAAAGAATGGAGAAAGTTTAAATATAAATAACCGTATGAAATTACAAAATCAACGCACAATCGAACGAACGATAGAAAAAGAGAATTGAAGGAATTGAAGCGAAGAGAGCATAAGCTAGAAAATGAAAATAAAAAAGAAAACTGAAGAGGTGAAGAAATAAAGAGAGAGGAGGAGAGAAAAAAAGAAGAAAAAAAAAAGACGAAGGCGGGCAAGAAGAAGACGAAGACGAAGAAAAAAAAAAAATAAAACAGATAAAACTGATAAAGAAGATCTGCCGTTTCTCAATTCTCAACAATCGTATTAATTACCCTTTTCCGTTTTCCACCAAGTCACTTACTGCGCAGGAGACACGGCACAACACCCACCTGTAACGAGAGAAAAAAAAACATAATCAACAAAAATCACCTTCGAATAGAGAACAAATTGCAATAAGGGTTTTAGTCAGCCAATAAAGAAGATAACCCATCTAAATAAATAAACAAAAAAAAAAAAGATAAAGAAAAGATTACATGGCATCCCCTCCCAGATTAAGTATATGCATAATGATGGTTTCATTTCTTACGTATCTACTTGTGTATGTGGACATGTGCTTATACCTTCATGTTGCAAAACAAAGAAGAATGATACGGGGAAATAGAGAGGAAGAGAGAGGAGAGGGAGGGAGGGAGGGAGGGAGGAGAGGAGGGAGGGAGGAGGGGAGGGAGGGAGGGCGGGAGGGAGGAAGGGCGGGAGAAGGAAGGGGGAGGGTAGAAGCGGGGGGGGGAGGAGGAAAGAAGAGGGAATGGACGAAGGGTGGAGGGGAAAAAAGAAGACACTAACCGAAAAGAAAACGTTTTCCGACAAAGAAAAGAAAATCCATCACACACACACACAAACACACACACACACACACACACACTCACACACAACACACACACACATCCAAAACAAAATAATAATAATAATAATAAAAAAACTCTCCTCCCCATCCAAAACACTCAACAAATCCCCAAACAAACTCCAAACCAGAAACCAAACAAACAAAAACCAAAGCAAATAAACAACAAACTAAATAAAAAAGCAGCAGCAATAACGAAGATAGCAGGAAGAGCCTCCCAGGGGACCCGAACACCGGCGGAGGCAGCGGCCCAGCGTGGAGGCGCCGTAATATGGGCCATTCATCCTCAGGGAGAGGGGGAGGGAGGAGGAGGAAAGGGGGGGGAGAAGAGGAGAGGGAGAGAGGAGGGAGAGAGGAGGGAGGAGTGGAGGAGTAGAGTGGAGGGGAAGGAAGAGAGAGGAAGGGGTGGAGGGGGAAGGGAGAGGGGAGTTAGGGAAGTGGGTGGAGGGGGAAGGAGAGGAAGGGAGAGGAAGGGAGAAGGAGAGGGAAGAGAGAGGAGAGAGAGAGAGAGAGAGAGAGAGAGAGAGAGAGAGAGAGAGAGAGAGAGAGAGAGAGAGAGAGAGAGAGAGAGAGAGAGAGAGAGAGAGAGAGAGAGAGAGAGAGAGGGAGAGGTGGGGGGAGGGAGAAAGGAGAGAGAGAGAAGAGGGGAAAGGTTGGGTGGGAGGAGCGGGGGAGGGAGAGAGGGGGTGTTGGAGAGAAGAGAGGTGAGGCGGGAGGGGACATAGAGGGAGAGAAGGGAGGAGAAGAGGAATGGAGAGGAATGATGGGAGGACGGGACGGAGAGAGAGGGAGCTGGATGGGAGAAGCGGAGGGAGATGGGAGTTGAAGAAGGGAAAGGGAGGGAGGAAAAAAGGAGGGAGAAAGGAATAGAGGGGAAGAGAGGGAGAAAGGAGGGCTGGGAAAATTACAGAAAGAGGTTCTGAGAGACAGACAATCCTGGGCCGGGATGTTGAGGGGAGGGGGAGGGGAAATGGGTCAAAATAGGGGAAGGTAGCACTACGATTAAAGGAGGTAGAGGGGAGGGAGGAGGGTAGCAAAGACAAGTGCAGGTAGAGAATAAAGGGGAGAGAAAAAAAGAAAGAAAGGGAAAATCAAAGGACAGTGCCAGGAGGGTTACAGGAGGGGGGGGGGGACTAGGAGGAGCAAAAGAGAGCCACTTCGTCGACCTCTTGAGGGAGAGGAAGGGGGCGAGAGCGGAGAAGTGTGCCAAGGTATCCTCTCCGATCAAGCACCCCTTCCTCCCTTCCCCCTAAAAACGTTTTTCTTTTCGAAACCGTGTCCCAAACCTAAAAAAAAAGTATATAAAAGATGGAAAAAATATATATAAGATAAAAAAAAGTGGCCTGAAAACATGAATCTCGAGGAATAAAATCCAAGAAAAATAAAAACTTTTCGATAAAAAATAAACAAATAAAAAATAAACAAAATATGTAGTTAATAACTTGCTGGAACGAGATCTGATGCCGTTCTCAAGCTCGCGCTTATCCCCCGAACGGTGTTTATTAACAGTAACAAACGGCGAGGAGGAGGAGGAGGAGGAGGAGGAGGAGGAGGAAGGAGGAGGAGGAAGAGGAGGAAGAAGGAGAGGAGGCAGATAAGGAGAAAAAGGAAATGGAGGAGATAGAGGAGGAGAAAGAGGAAATAGAGGAGTAGGAGGAAGAGCAGAAAGAGGAAATGGAGGAAGAGGAGGAGGAAGAAAAAGGGTGGGCGCAAAGTCAGGCAAGGGAAGGAAATGAGATATAACATACAAAGAAGACGCATTAAAAATAAGAAAAAGAATTTTAAAAATTCAGAAGAAAAACAGTCAAGAAAAGAAAAGAAGAAGAAGAAAGAAGTTTGCGTACAGTCGGCCCCCATAGCCAAGCGTCTCCCTCTTGTGTGGCAGGATGATGGAACGAGGAGGAGGAGGAGGAGGAGGAGGAGGAGGAGGAGGAGGAGGAGGAGGAGGACGACGACGACAACGACGAGTAGTAGGAAGAAGAGGACGGAGGGGCGAGAATGGGGGACACAGAGGGAAAGGGGAAAGGAGAGAAGAGAGAGAAAGACGGAGAAATAGGGAAAGAGATAAAAAAATGAAGAAAGAGACATAAGAGTCGGGGAAAGAAACAAGAGCTTGGGGAAAAACGACAAGGACAAGGGGAAAAAAGAGTGCGAAAGAGGGGGGTGAAAGAGAGGAAAGGCTGGAAAAAGGGGGGAAAGAGGGGAAAGGGGGGAAAAAGGGGGGGAAAGAGGGGAAAGAGAGGGGAGAAGGAAGGAGAGAGAGAGGGAGACTCGTTAATTATTCATCAGCAAAGCACACACTTCCCCCTCGGGCTTTGCACAGGTTTATCATGGTTTCCGGTGACAGACTGCGACAAGAGGGCTTCGTCGCGCGA